TGCTTGATGAACAAAGAATCCTTTAAATGTTTTCATCTGATGATTGAGTCTAAAAACTGAAAGGACTTTTGAAGTTCATCTAGCCTTTGCTGATTATATGTTATTGATTACTGTGGGTTCACTTTCAAGCCCTCCCAGAACATATATCCTGTTAAAATTTATTACAATGAATTATGTTGTCAAGATATCCATGCAGTAGTTGCTCCTTTCTTGTTTAGTGATTATTTTTCTATCTGATGTCATAAAAAAGTTGTTCGTTGAAATTGTAAAACTTATTGATTGTTATAAGGAATTAAAAAAATCTCACTTCAAAAAAAACATAGCATTGGTTCCTCTGGTGATTGAGGCATTATGGAACAATTTGTACTTTGATTATCTAGTTTTAATACCAAAACCAAGTGAACAAAGTGGTGGTTTCATTATCAATATGAGAAATATGCATGCACCAAAGTGCTTGTAGCCTAATGGTAGTGGTCTCTTGCAACAAGTCACAGACTAGTTCTCATAGGAGCCTTAGGTGTGTGTATTGGGTGTGCAAATTACAATTAAAAAAAAGAGAGAGAGGAGAAATTTGCATGCTTGACGTTAGGAAAGGAGGACCACTTTATTGGCTTTTTTAGGTGGTCAAACTCAAGTACCTATATAAATACATACAACCTTACCCTAGCGAGCACGTCTGGGAGGTAAAAAAAGAAATGAAGCACAAAAGTAGACCCCCATCCTATAATAAATGGACCTAGGCAAAACTTGTATAGATCAAAAGGCTGGAAACAAAGAAAACAAAGAAAGCAAATGGCAAGAACTTATGTATAGTTGTGAGCAAAGGAGCGCTGCAGAAACTATGCCATCTAAGACTTGCAGAACCACAGAAATCCTTTAACAAAATCAGCTTCAAACTATGGTTTGCTGCATAATTGAACTGCTGTAATGAAGATTGTAGTGGTGGCAAAACCCATGCCTACTAACGCCATAACAATTCCCTTGGGAGTTTTTACCATCCCCACCAATCTCCTTTCTGTGTGGAGATTAAACTTTCAGAACTGCTAGCTTATCACATGAACAATCTTCTTTTCTGCATGAAGACTATACTTTTGACGCTGATTCATCAACAATATATTTTTAAGTTTAAAGATAGAGGAATACTGGAATTGGAAGTCTCATGGATGATAAATATACAAACTGATGGTCTGGGAAAGTATAAGATAGCAATTTAAAGCCAAATTTCTTCTGAAACGGGGACTAGCAAGTGTTAATATGAGAAAGAGGATCATTGTATCTATAAATATGAACTCATGTGTCTCAATTGAACTCAGAGATATATCTATAATCTCATATAGATGGTTTGTCACTTTCACCAGTGCACTAGAAACTAGCTGTTATAGGCAAAATATATTTCACAGGTGTATGACTGTTTTTGGTGGTGCATCCTTCTGATCTACTTGTATGGGCATACAACCCATGATTGGAACTTGCTTGGGCTGCTTTACATAATTGCATTTTTCTGTGTTTTTGGATAAGAACTTCTAGATTTGAATGAAATAGAAGTGTAAATACAGTACAGATCATCAATATGTTATTTGGAGCTGTAAGATCTTTATCATAATTAAGACTAATTTACTAATGAATTAAATGCCGTAACTGAAACATGAACGAGACTTGATTCTCTCGAATTTCATAAGTCCTTTGCATCAAGTTGTTTCTACATGTTCTGATTTTCTTCATATTCTTGTGTCTAAACTTACCCACCAAGAAAAACACTTAGTGGGCAACATTCGGGATCATCAAAAGCAAACCAGTTATGAAACCTTGGCTTCTGGCTCTACTTTCTTAGGAAATGGATATCTACATGCTAATGCTATCACACTTCTTGCATAAGATAAGTTTATCATGCTGTTGTAGGATCAAATGAATTTGGCTGAAGTGAAGTACCCTTTGGAGCATTTTAAGGTAAGCATGTACTTATTTTATGTGATAAAATAAAACTGCAGCTCCAGATTTGTGAATGTTGCTCCAAATCTTACATAGATTGTATATTTTAATGGTTCATAATCACATGTGGTTTGGATTTCTTCCATTTGCAGACTTTCAATGACTTCTTCATAAGAGAATTAAATCCTGGTGCAAGACCAATTGCTTCCATGGAATGTGATGATGTTGCCATATGTGCAGCTGATTGCCGTCTAACGGCTTTTAAGTCAGTAGAAGACAGTCAAAGATTCTGGATCAAGGTATTTCTACTGTTTGCTCTTAAATGCCTCAGTTTTGTCACCCTCAATCCCCCACTCCTATTTTTTAATCGAAGGCATTATGCTTGTGTCTATAAGTGTGTGTTCCAACGGAATAATGTATGAGTAGAATAGATTGGTGAAGAGAGCAAGTTGTATTGAAAATGAGTATATTTTTTTATATAAATATTTTCTGCTATTTACTGTTGATTGTTATTGTATTCACTTGTTTAATAATAGTTAATTCCTGGTATCATTTTTCGTAATTCATAGGGCCGCAAATTTTCTTTACAAGGGCTTTTAGGAAAGGAAATATATTCAAGTGCTTTCGCCAATGGTACTCTGGTCATATTTCGATTGGCACCACAGGTACGTACATCATACAAGTTTAAGTTTTGGAAAAGGACGAGATTCAAGTGCCTGTTTGACCCAATGATACTTCTCTGGAGGTGACATTGTTTGTCAGTTCTTGAAGCAGAGAAGAAGAATAAATAAATAAGAAGGGACAGTTTAAGGAGAAAACTCAAGTCCAATTCTTTATTCATGGTTTGAATGTTGAGAGGGATAAGGAGAGAAATGTGACAACTTCGTGAGAGCAACCCCTGCAGCTCACCGCTGTAACTTCCAGTGAGCAGATGGTTGCCGGAAAAACAGGGGGACTGGTCCCCCCCACGCATACAACACGCCTAATTTTATACCATTTTCACCCAAAAACACCTTAGAATCATCTCAAAAACATCGATAAACCTTTTTTGAACTTCAAAACATGTTTTAATCAACCCCAGAAACTCAAAAAAAAATTGATTCTCCCTTCTCCCTCTTCTTTCCTTGAATCTATCTCCTCTCTCTAAATTTAGGGACCTTACTTTAACACAAATGAAGTTTAGGGACCATTTCATACAAACCTCAAACACCAAGGACCAAAATAATTTCATATTTGCAAAAAAGTCACTTTTTTCAAAAAATATGTCGTTTTGAGCAAAAAAAAAAAAAAAAGGCCAACAACGGTGCTGTTTTAGGTGTCTCCACTGTAGCTAAGCCCCTCTTATCCACGGGGAAACACAATTCCCATTTAGCTTCTTTGTAATTAGACCCTTCTGTTTCAATTCTCTTCTAATGACTTCTCTCATTCCAACAATACTCAGTTCCTGAAACCATGTAATCTGATTTTTCATTTTCTTCTTATTTATTTTTTTCCATTGCTGCAGGATTATCACCGTTTTCATTCTCCAGTTTCTGGAACCGTTGGGAAATTTGTAAACATACCTGGGTGTTTATATACGGTATGTATATTAAACCTAAGGACCTGTTTCGTTTGTTTTCTTGATCATTTCTTTTTATATGTTATTAAGATGCCTTTTATGTCTATCTCATTTTGTTTCCCAGGTTAATCCCATCGCTGTCAACAGTGAGTACTGTAATGTTTTCACTGAGAATAAGAGAGAAGTATCAATTATTTCTACTGAACATTTTGGAAAGGTTTACCATCACTGATGAACTTCTTACCTCTGTGCATGTAGACAAATTCAAGTGAGAGAAAAAAAAAGTTTTGCTAACTCTTTGCATTTTGCAATATAGAAGATGCCTTTGCTTATGCTTTTTTCAAACTTCTATTTGACATCATTTTATGTCAACCTATTCAAGAGTAACCAAGCAGATCTATCTTTGCATCTCTAGGATGGTGTAACTGGCCTGTTCAGTTTCAACTTGCAATTATTGAATATTAAGAGTGTTTTTTCTTTTCGGCTGCAGGTGGCATTTGTTGCAATAGGAGCAACTATGGTTGGCAGCATCACCTTCTTGAAGAAGGCAGGTGACCCTGTCAAGAAAGGAGACGAGGTGAGCAATCTCTAATACTATGTTTTACACATTGTTTGTCTCTACATATAAGAGGGTGGCTTTTAATTGTTATTATGTACTGAATTTACAGTTTGGATATTTCTCATTTGGTGGAAGCACCGTGATTTGCGTCTTTGAGAAGGTTGGTACCATGTAGAACTGCTTTTCTGATGCTGGGTATTTCAATCAAAACGCCTGTATCTATGTTAGTTGTATGTATGCAAATAACAAAACAAAACCCGTTCTATCATATCTGTGATTGGGTAGGCCATCATTTCCAAAATTCAATCTATTATTGTCATTCACCATTTGTTTTGCCTATTGTGATAGGATCCACCATGAAGTGTTTCCCAAGGATTCAAGAAGTTATTATTATTATTATTATTTTTTTTTTTTTTGGTTCAGGAGTTCAGCTTTCTACATTCAAGTTCTAACCAATGCCTGCTAACAGAATTTGTGATTAATATCCGAATCTATGATCCACAACTAATCTTGGGGTTATTTTGCAGGATGCGATTGAAATAGATGAGGACCTCCTAGCAAATAGTGCCAGGTCGCTCGAGACCTTAGTTTCTGTTGGAATGAAGTTGGGTGTTGCAACTAAGAAACAAACTAAAGTTAATTTGCCGAACTTCGATAATTGGGTGTTCGAAGAATGAGAGAGCTCGTGAATTTCATTCATATCATTTTGAATCTTGCAGTATGTCTGGAATTGCTTGTATTTTAGCTGATGTATATGTAACTAAAGCTTTTTTCACTTCCTACCTTTATTTTGTTTGAATTATTGTGATGGAATTGAACCCAACTGTTGGAATTTAAATTGTTGCATCGACAGCTTTCTGTTGCTTCTTGTTTCTTTTCTCTTTCCCTGTGTGTGTGTGTATAAAATTGGTGTGTAGGTGTTGGGTCCATTACAATCATCATCTCGGAACAATCTCACCTGGCCTTGCCAAACCTTAAAAAGAGTGAACCAGTTGGATGCTGCTGGTTGTTTCCAGCAGTCAAATCAACCTCTTCTGGAATTTGTTTTATCGTCGACTTGAGCAAAGTCCGTTGCCATGTCCTTACACACCAGTCACCACAGCCTTGTACTGAACTTAGAGTCCATGTATGCTACGCGGCACAAATTTATTTCTCTGTTGTAGGTGTGTAGAATCTTTTGTAAAATTTTATAATATATAAAAAATAATCGGTGGTGATATATATAATAGTTATTTTATGGATTCATTTTGATAAAAGAGATAGATATGAAAAAAGGAAAAAGAAATAAAAAAAATCAAATGAACATTGAATATTGAAATTTTTTTGTTATTATTTTTTTTATGTGAATGTAATTTAATATATCTATCATTTTTCTTAAAATGAATTTATAAAGTAATTATTGTATATGTTATTAGTTATATTTTTTGTATTATAAAATTTTTCAAATCTTTCTATGTTGAATTTTCTATTATAAGATAACCTCATGCAATTATGCGGGGATCAAAACAAGTACAGAGATTTAAAAAAAAAAAAAAAAAAACCGTCAACTTTTCTCCTGCGTTACATGAAACTTCATTAACCTCGTCATTATTCAATGAAAGCATGCTTCTACTTTTCTCTTGCGTTACATGAAACTCCTTTAATCTCATTGTTCAATGACACAGTATTTTGCTACTGGCATTTGGGTTATCGATGTTGATGTTAATTAATTATCCAATTTGCTGTGAAATTAAAATTACCGTTGAAAATCCTGATGCCAAGACTGAAGTATACTTTCATGGAATAGAAATCTCTACATTATCCGATGGATAGAAGGAAAATTAATGAAAGATGCTGGCATTATTCTTTGATTAGGTAACTTTAGTTTTCACATTGTCAATCTCAGTTCTCTTAATTTAATTTTCGTTTGTTTTCCTATTATTTTGTTATTACCTCCTTTTTTTTTTCTTTTGATTACTAACAGATGCATCATAGATTTAATGGAAGAATTCCACGAGTCAACTGTGCAAGCATCATCTATATGGAAGAACAACATTAGGTTAAACAGTACAAAGATTCCCACATCTAAGATCCCCTAGGCTCCCCTTAAGTTACCTGTAATATAATGTATGGCTTTCGATCAGTTTAAATAAAGGACTGGGATTTTATTAGATTCTTTTTTCTACTGATCATATCAGAATTGCTTCCTTTTACATCTCAAAAAATTATGCCTGATTTCGTCTCCCTCTCCCTTTTTTATAGAAAATTTTAAAATATACAAAGAGTAACTAAAAATATTTAATCACTTTAAAGAGAAAAAGACATGCATAAAGAAGAGAAAAAATTATATCCACGTCCACCAATAAGTAATAAGAATATTTCCACCTATGTTATTATTATTATTTATTTTCTCTTTTATTTCTCTCCTCTTTGTGTCTATCTCTATTTTTTTCTCTCTTATTTTTCTCTTTTTTGTGTCTTAAGTATTATTAGTTACTCCTATACTAGCATAAAATTTATCTTTTTTTTATTTACCTTGAAAAAAATAAGATCTGAAATTCTCATTTTGAAAAAAAAAATGACAAGCTCAACTTTTTTATCTCGTTATTTTTTAAATAAGAAAATATTAGGGTTATATACTTATATTGTTGGTAATATGCTCGTTCCTCACTTCTCTAATTTTCTTTACTTAAGGAAGTTTTCCATTTGATGAAGCAAAGTCTAAAGATGCGCCAAAAACAAACTGCAAAGGTCCAATAATCAGAAGACATAGAAGCAACGAGGTGATGATAGGGGCTTTGCTTTTCGATGCAATGGGAAGGACAAATTTCCTAAATTAGCAACAAGGTGATCGGGATTTTACTTCCTGATACAATTAAAATAGTAAATTCTAGAAATTATTTTTTGTTAGATATATAGGGAATAGATGTGATGTGTTGGGGAAAAATGGAAGCCGAGAGAGAATTTAGTTTTATTTTTTTTAGAAGGTTATTTGAACAATATCCTGAACCATTGAGAAAATTAAGGTAATAGAGCTAAGAGATTCTTTTGCCAACAGCAGATTGGTGTAATTACAAGTGAGCTGTTTTTCATAGAAAGTTCATCTATGATGCTGAAAATCTGAATTTCATTTATAATAATTGACGACATACTTTCATTTATCAGATGTTTTTTAAATAAAAAGATAATATGATGTAAATATAATGCTTTCTGCCGACGAGTATAGGATGAATGAGAGAGAACCAAAGTTTCTTTTGGTGGTGATATAATAAGTAGACATTTATAGCCATTTATTTAAATTGAAAGAGAACTTGTGGGAAACCAAATCCATCTCTTTCATTCTTTACAAGAGTTCTAAGTAATAGAGTACAGAAGCAGATTTAGTCTAATAGTTGTACATTCCGTTAGTTTCTCTAATAAAAAATAGTTAAAATCCTAGTGACTTAAGTTTTTTTTTTTTTTGTGATTATGTAATAAAAAAAAAACTCTATTTTGTAGTCCAAATGCCAATAAGCCTCCGATGAATTTTTTTTTTTTTTTTTAAAAAAAAAGCTTCAGTTTATCACGTGTGGTTACTGGTTAGTAGCATCTCGGAAAAAGCAGAATTATGCGACGATAACTTGGCAGATAATAGATGTTGTCATGTTGGAAGGTCAGAAAGCAAGCCGTACTATAGCCAATCTAAAGCGAAAGCTAACAGAGTAAAACAACAATAACCCAAGAAAGATGTAACCTGTAAGCACAACACCCCTGGCAGCTCACTGACCAACAAAGAAACCTGACAATTAGCAAACCAAACAAACAAGACCCGAAGAACCAACTCGTGTACCGAGGACTAACTACTACTTTCAAATCAAAGTCCACATTTAGCACTTAAGAGTCTCAGACTATCACCATCATTACAAGTACAACCCCATTAGTTTCCAACATTCCAACCCTCGCAGACCAGCCTTTTTGTCTCACTTATCTTTACATGATTTCCTACTGCTCACAAGAACTCTCAAAAAAATTCTGAGTCGTTGGCCTGTGATTGTAATAGAGGGACGAAATTGGGTTGGCTAGCAGTAAGGTTTTTCCTGTAACCTTTTCGAGTAAACTCCAGCTACATTCGATACTTTTATTTGCTCTTCTTCACCAAACTGCTTTTAAACACTGCTTTTATGGCTATCACTCTGACATTCGAGTGCATAAATCACCTTTTTTCGATTTGCCTTCCAAAGTTTTTGTAAACAAAGCACAACGTCTCCTAAATTTTACACAGCACAACATGGCACCAAGCTCGTGTGTAAATTCAGACTAGAATACAAACTCAAACATGAGATGTAACTACTCAACATAACATACACATGCTGCACTTACCACAAAAATCACAATGCTCATAAATGAACTTATAATCTATAATCTATAATCGAGTCGATTCCATGATTATAAGTTCATTTCATACCGGACCAGACCGGAATAGGCTTATATACATTCTCATTATGAGAAAAGGTCATTCGATGTATAGATTCTCGAGAAGAGAGGAGCCATGGTAGTACCCTCGGACCGTTCAGATCCCACGAGTGAATAGAAAGTTAGATCTATATTGGATCTCACCTGAATCACCCCATTTATCCTCTTGAAAAGAAGTTTGGTTTCAAACACCGGTTCGAACAGGAGAAGTACGGCACAGGATGATGGATCACAAAGGTCGAGGATGAGAAAAAAGAATATTGAACTGAATATTCTTTTTCTAGAATTTGAGTGTTCCTTTTCTCCTTGAGTCATTTCAATATCTTTGACAAAGCAAAAAGAAAATTTCTAATCTGCATGGCTGTTGCGTGTCATTCTAATTGCAAACTGTGAGTGAGAACGCTAATTAGAATTCATTAATCATTCTAATGGAACTCAGTGCGTCTTACGAGCCCAGTTTCTGGAAAGCTTTAGAGTGGTGTGATAGAGTGAAGATCGAAAGCACATTTAGGCTACTGCTAAAGAAAAAGGCTCAAATCTGGGGCCTAAGTTGCAGCTTAATGTGATGAGACTAACCAGATAAACATTCCATGTCCCAGGAAAAGATAGGATATTACTATTTCCACATATCCCTTCCTAGGACCCTGCTTTGGTGGAATCGTAACTACATATAGCTTCTGCATAAATTCAGATGTGCCATGCCCAAATAAGGTGTTTCTATAGCAAGCATAATGATTAAAATAAAAACGATAGTAAGAAAAGTTGCATCAAGTTTTCAAATAATTACTACAATGTTTGGTTTCCTAAGCAAGCATTGATTATTTGTTTCTTGATTTTCCAATGAAGCCATGAAGGTATTTCTTTGATAAATATTCATTACAGTTCTATCCGATAATTTTCACCATATGACAAACAAACAGACAGTGTAGAGTCCAATTTTCAACTGCTAGATTCCCAAGAATGGCAACAATATATGTATACATAAACATTAACTGAAGAGTGCTTTGCATCAATGGAGATGCATAAACAACAGGGTAGTCATGCTCTTTCTTTTATTTATGTACTTTTTTCAGCAGCTTGAGCCCACTTTATAGTTGAACGAGCCAATGCATCCATTGGATCAATACATTTCTTGAGAAGTGGATCATCCTGAGGCAAAACATCGTGCATAGCATCAGAAGCAAGGATGACGGTGTTCACTGCCCTCACCAGAAGAACTTGCAGTGCAATTCTCAGCAGATTCTGCGCACCTTCCATGTCCTTTCTATCTAAAGCTTCAATTGCAGGAATTACAGTGTGTTCCATGGTAGCTTTATCGGGAAGCACAACCTCAAATCCCTACATACACAAAAATTGTTACTTGAAATAAATAAATAATTAATTAAAATACACTTGTGAAATGGATAAATTAGATGACATAACTTTATCTAGTAACTGAAAATGATAAAAGAATATTCCTTCTGAACAACAAACATTTTTCACAATTTACACATCCAAGAAGCTTACATGGGATTAAAATCAAGTCACTTTAAGGTAGGAAAAGACGACATCTTGGTGAAGATATCCACTTCTGTGAAACTAATAAAACTGAGGTAGTGCATGGAGCATTTGTGAAAAAAATACAGTAAGAAATGCATTTAAGCTGTGTAAGAGATATGATCATGGGACTCTAATAACAAAAGGCATTCCAACTGGTTTTCTAAGGAAACTAAATTCACACAGAAATCAATATTTGGCATCAAAATAGATTTCATCCCATTAGTATCTACGATCCGCATAAAGCAGCACTTTGATTAATTATCTAGGATAATAAATTAGCAAAATGCAAGGAAATCTGTTTCAAGGCATAAAAAAAGAGTTTTCTTTGCATCTGCTAATGAAGAATTCAAGTTATACATCCAAATCATATTCAAAAAAGTTAGAAATGTGCAGATATATGGATGTGTGTGTGCATAACGACAGCATTTGATGTTTCTTGGTTAGGATTGTCAACAAAAAAACGACAAGGTGGAATCGGCTGTTGTGAACAGAACTCTTTAAAATGCATACAGAATCTACTTTGTGTTCCGTGACTTCCTTCTATGTGATCCTAGTACAATGAAAAGTAAGAAACAGAAATAAAACAAAATAAAATTGGCCTTAATAGCCCCTGACACAAGTTTCTTAAAAAGCTGATGAGGGCTTTTGCCATTTGGGAATGAAACCACTCTCAAAACCAAGTCTTGACCCATTTTCTTTCCTCTTCTCTTATTTGTGTCCCAACCAAACATGCAGAACAGAGGTATCTAGAGACTAAAATGTTAAAGGCATGAACATCCTCTAGATAGGCAAAGAAAGCTGGGAACTAAATCCATACAAAATAATCATCAAGAGTAGCATATTTCATATGGAAATGGTCATGATATTCTTACAATATTTTAGTCCATTTGATTTAATTGAATGCATAGAACCCCCAACATAAGCCCCACAGGTTGCCGTGGGGCAATTACATGGTATGAGTAAAATAGAACCAATACTTGTATTAATCTGAACAAAAACATCTTAAAAGAATTCAAAAAGAAAAAAAAAATGAAAACATGAATACAACATGAAAACAGAAAAAGGCAGTAATAGTTTAACAATAGTCATAATCGACATGCAACAGAATAACGATACAAGAAGGGAAACGGAATTCTCAATTTCATGCCATTAAAAAAAAATCTGAAGGAGAAATTACATTAGGACAGCCATCAGACAACTTCTGTTGATGGAAGTGCATGTAATAGTACAAACACTTCCTCGTTAGCTTTAGACATACTTCTTCTGCATGATTAAATATTTTAAATAGGTAGGAACATTTAGTCATCATTCACATTGTATTATAATAGGTAGAAGATCAGGCGTCCCCCTAATAACTTGTAAGGCATGCATGATCAAAATAAAATCTAGATATATATATACTTAGCTTCTCAGATTACCAATTATTTAGATCACACCTAATTGATTTGTAATGGAAGGGTAATCTGATATGTAAGCAAAAAGAAGCCCAGAACGAAATTACCTGACTCCGCAATTTCTCCTGATAGAACCCTGCAGCCAAAGTTGCATTGGTGGCTAACACCCCAATCCGCAGAGGACTCCCAGCTTCAAGTGGCTTCAGCTTAGCTTCCTTGAGCTCCCTCGCAACACACTCACCCATATGAAGGAATGGAACAGAACCCCCTTAGAAACCTCATCATGCCATGAATGCGAAATATGACAAGGCATTACTATGCACCGAACTCCTGATTTCTCAAGAAAAACCCTTTTATTCCGCAGATTCTCCACAATTGCAGAATGATCCAATGGGAAACTTTCATTTTGCCTACTGAGAGAAGGAAAATAATTTTTCTCGTGCGATAAAAGCTCCTTGTTCAATACTGGATCAGAGCAAAGAACAAAAGGAATGCAATCTTTTCCTTCTTTTGAACTCCCCTGGACTAGTTTTTTCAAGAAATTTGAAGCAGAATTAACTGATATGCCTCCTATTATACCCACTGTATTTTCTTGACTAAGCAAGGAATGAGAAGAATCCCTTCCTCTCAAACCAGAACCCTTCTTAGAGTCAGGAAATGTATCACTCTCATCTGTTTGCAAGAGTATTGACGATGGGGGTATAGCTAAAACTGGTTGCAACCTTGATTTGTGGAGGGTTCTACGTGTATTTACATGCCCCAATATATGATATGGGTTCAATGTGTGGAAAGGCGTTGCCAAGCTCCCATCAAACATCTCCAACACAAAAAGGGAACAAGTTTATCAAAGCAACAAGCTTGAAAGAAAACAATCTCAATACTTAAGTCTATTTTTTCACATGTGAACTCCTTGTGACTGAAAAACTCAGAAATAACGAAATTTCTATACTTCACTTGAAAACGACTACAAAGTGCCCTATTTACAATCTTCTTTCAATTTTTGCCTTCTAGAAGGAAAACCAACCTCCGAAAGAAGCAAATGATCAGAAGTTACGAAATTTCAGCCTATGAACCACAATTTATCATTGAATTTCCAAATTAAGAGTTTATAAGCAACAACCCACTTCCAAAACTGCAAATCCTTTATTGGATTATCAAAAGTAGCTCCAAAAAGATACAATCGTCTCCAGCAAGGCAAATCAATGGACTCCTCCCGTACAGTCCAGACCCCAGAGCAAAACCCAACTTCGCTAACCCAGATATTCTTAAGGCGAAAAAAAAGAAACCAAAACGAAGATCAAAATCAAGAAAAAGCAAGTGGGACTGATAGGAACAAGTACAGAGACCCTGCAAGTTTTCAGGATTTCTTTTATCTCTTTTAAATATAATAACCAATCAAACAAAGCAGATGGACCCAACAGCCCTTGGCAGGCAACTAGCAAGTGGAAAGGAATCTTCAAGGTCTGTAAATGTTCTCCACATTTCACACTGTACCTTGTTCTATTGTAACCACCACTAGCTAAAACAAGAAACTCACTGAAACATATATTTATGACTTATGGATTATTTACAAATGCTGTTAGTTACCTTGTCTGGTATTTGCAACTTGGGTTCCTTAAATCTGCTCTGCAATGAATGTCCTTTTCATCTTTGCGTCGGTTGGGTGAGTGGGATTGTGGGAGTGGGTTAAACGGTAACTCTTCATGCTTTTTATTCTTGCAAATCCAAATAACTCATGGATGTCGGTTTTATTTGCTTATTATTTATCGTAATAAATTTGTTAGTTATTTTTATTTTACTTTAGAAACTTCAATATATTTTTCACCATTTAAGTTTTTTTAAAATACTATTTTATTTTTATTCTGACCCATTGAGAATTGTTATAATATATAAAAATAAAATTGAAATTATTAATTTTATTTAAAATTAATTATGCATCTATACATATAATAACAACAATTTACTTTTAATTTTTTTAATATTTTAAAATTAATTTATTTTAAATAAAATAATTAAAATAATATTATGGAATAACCATCTAATAATTTAAATACATCTTTTTATATTAATATTATTGATTTTATATATATATATATATATATATATATATATATATATATATATATATCAAATGGATTTTCCAATATGTTTTTCAAATAAATAATCAATTAAATAATAAAATTTTTGTGTTTTATTTATTTATTCTTTATATAATCAAATTTTATCGAAATAAATTTCTTAGTTATTTTTTTGAATTCTATTAACTTCAATATATCCCTTATAATTTAAGTTATTTAAAAAATATTGTTTTATTTATATTGTACATTCTGATCCATTAAGTATTGAGATCATCATTTTATATAAAATTAATTAAGCATCTACATACATAAAAACAATCATTTGATGTTAATTTTTTTTCAATATTTAAAATTAGTTATTTTTTTGAATTTTATTAACTTCAATCTATTATTTATAATTTAAGTTATTTGAAAAATATTTTTTTATTTATACTTGTACATTCGATACATTAAGTATTGAGATCATCATTTTATTTTAAATTAATTATGCATTTATATACATAAAAACAATCATTTGCTGTTAATTTTTTTCAATATTATAAAATTAATTTCTTTCAAATAAAAGAATTAAAATAATATTTTAGAAAAACCATTTCAGAATTCAGGTACATCTTTTTATTCAATAAAAATAATATTTTCATTGTATAAATAAAACCCATTGAACTCTCGTGAACTTAAAAAGTTGATGAACATTTAATAGTACTTACAGAATATATATATATATATATATATTCTTAAAATCTCAATTCATCCCTTTCTAAATTTCAATCAAAGGTGGCATAATTAAAATTATAAATCTTAATGATTGAAGCGACTAAAAATTGATTGCCTGCGATAAGATATCAATTTGTCTCTTACTTTGGTTGAGGAGTCACTGACATCATTTGTTGGTACGGACATACAATCGATGCCCTCTGCTATTGCTTACGAAACCGCAATCAATTTTTAGTCGCTTCAATCATTAAGATTTATAATTTTAATTATGCCACCTTTGATTTAAATTTAGAAAGGGATGAATTGAGATTTTAAGAATTGAATATATATATATATATATTACCAAAGTTGATGCATACCTTATAAATATAAATCCCTCCCTCATGATCTCTTGGAGTATATATATTTGCTACTTTCTTTTGAATAAATAATTAAAATTAGAATCAAGTTATGAAAAAAATCAATTAATAGACTAAAGGAAATTAAAAAATACAACTATGAAGCTTAATTGATATAGAGAGAAAGGTTTTTTTAGTATCCAACCTTTCAATTTTTTTTTGATATCCGAGTATTGATTTCTTAAGATTAACTATTCAAACTTTGATATGTTGTTTGTTTTAGCGCTTGCGTTCACCTAAATCTTGATTTTAGTAATTTATCCGATGAGATCTACCATGTGGCAATCGATCCTGTTACATTAGCACCTCATACTCCCATGCAGCCATGGGCACTCAAATAAAAAAAAAAAAAAAATCAAATGTTAGGCATTAAAACAGAAAACAAAAAATTAAAAATTGGGTACTAAATATGCAGTTTTTTAAGAAATTTATTGTCTCGAGATTACAAAATTAATCCAATAATTTCTAATAAATATTTTTCATATCATACTTGTGGCATTTTTTTTACTTATCAATGGTAATTTTTAATATTTCGTATTAGTTAAAAATTAATTTTAAAAAATTCTAAACCCTTTACATGTCTAGACAAATTTAAAATTATCATTTAAGTTTTTTTACTTTATTTTTATTTTACTTTATTGACTTCAATATGTTTTTTACCATTTAAGTTTTTTTTAAATACTATTATCTTTTTATTCGATACATTGAGTATTGTTATAATATATAAAAATAATATTAAAATTATTGATTTTATTTAAAATTAATTATGCATCCACACATATAACAACAACCATTTGCTATTAATTTTTTTAATATTTTAAAATTAACTTCTTTTAAATAAAATAATTAAAATAATATTATAGAACAACCATCTAATAATTTAAATACATTTTTTATATTAATATTATTGATTTTTTTAAATAAATATATACAAATCAAATGGATTTTCCAATATGTTTTTCAATAAATAATCAATTAAGAATTTATGTGTTTTATTTATTTATTCTTCATATAATCAACTTTTATCGAAATAAATTTTGTAGTTATTTTTTTGAATTATATTAACTTCAATATATTTTTTATAATTTAATTTTTTTAAAAAAATATTTTTTTATTTATACTATACATTCGATCCATTAAGTATTGAGATCATCGGTTTTATTTCAAATTAATTATGCATTTACATACATAACATTAATTGTTTACTATTAATTTTTTTAATATTCTAAAATTAATTTTTTTCAAATAAAATAATTAAAATAATATTTTAGAAAAACCACTTGATAATTCAAATGCATCTTTTTATCCAATAAAAATAATACTTTCATTGTATAAATAAACCCATTGAACTCTCGTGAACTTAAAAAGTTGATGAACATTTAATAGTACTTACAGCATATATATATATATATATTCTTAAAATCTCAATTCATCCCTTTCTAAATTTTAATCAAAGGTGGCATAATTAAAATTATAAATCTTAATTATTGAAGTGACTGATTGTCGTTTCGTAAGCAATAGCAGAGCGCATCGACTGTACGTCCATACCAACAAAATATGTTGGTGACTCCTCAACCATAGTAAGAGACAAATTGATATTTTATCGCACATCCACCAAATAGCCAAACCCACAGAGTTGCGTAATTTGTTGGTATGGACGTACAATCAATCGGTGCGCTCTGCTGTTGCTTACGAAACGACAATAAATTTTAGTCACTTCAATCATTAAGATTTATAATTTTAATTGCGCCACCTTTGATTTAAATTTAGAAAGGGATGAATTGAGATTTTAAGAATTGAATATATATATATATTACCAAAGTTAGTGCATACCTTATAAATATAAATCCCTCTCTCATTATCTCTTGCAGTATATATATTTGCAACTTTCATTTGAATAAATAATTGAAATTAGGATCAAGTTATTAAAAAAAAAATCAATTAATAAACCAAAGTAAATTAAAGAATACAACTACGAAGCTTAATTAATTAGAGAGAGAGAGGCTTTTTTGGTATCCAACTTTTCAATTTTTTTTTTTTTTTTTAGTGCCCCATTATTGATTTCTCATGATTAACTATTTAAACTTTGATTTTTTGTTTATTTTGGCACTTAAGTTCACCTAAATCTTGATTTTGTTGATGTATTCGAGTGAGATCTACCACGTGAAGGTTAATCCTGCTACATTAGCACCTCATACTCATACTTAGCCATGGGCACTCAAATCGAAAAAAATCAAATAGTAGACATTAAAATAGAAAAAAAATTAAAGATTGGGTATTAAATATGCCATTTTTTAAAGAAATTTATTGTCTCGGAATTGCAAAATTAGTCTAATAATTTTTAATAAATATTTTCATATCATACTCGTGGTGTTTTTTTTTTTTACTTATCAATGGTAATTTTTAATACTTCATATCAATTAAAAAATAATTTTTAAAAATTCTAAAGCCTTTTTTTACATGTCTAGATAAATTTAAAATTGTCATTTAATCCAAATATATATAAATTCCTATTAAAATTAAATTTAAAAAAATAAAAGACATATGAGATCCAATTATAATTGTAATTTGTGGAACAAATGTTTGGTCAATAAAGAAAGTTACAAAAAAATAAAAATTATTTCCTCTGTCTAGAGAGAAAATTGACTAACATATCATGGGTAATATAACCTTACTATAGCCAATAATTTGTTGAACTTCATATAATAAGTTGAGATTAGATAGAATCGACATAAATAAGTTTAGTGATCAAGTTTTTTTATTTAAAAGTTTAAAATGCAAAATTTTTTTTGTAGCGAAGATGATAATGATAGAGATAATAAGTAAATCGTAAATTAAACTAAAAAGTAAATGCATTGTTAAAATTGCTTTTGCAATTAATATAGTAACAAGAAAATATGCATGCATGTAATTGCTGATATTTTTAAAATTTAAAATTGTATAAATTTTAATATTAAATAGAAAGTCTTCGAGAGATTATATATATATATATATATATAAAGATTATGGAATCATAAAAAATGCATAAGATCTATTTATAATAAAGAAAAGATATATCGAGTACAAGAAGGTGATAAACATTTTGTGTAAGAAAACTAAAATTAAATTTCTTGAGAAAATTATATTTCGTTGTCCAGCCATTGATATTTTTTTCCTATTTAGATGCCAATCTTTAAATTTTTTTTCCTATTTCAATTCTTAACCTATGATTTTTTATTTTTTTTATTTGAGTGCCTATAACTATTTGAGAATATGATGTGCTAACATGGCAAGATTGACTATCACATGACATAGTTGATCGCCACGTGACGGATCTCATCGTATACGTATTTTAAATTTGGATTTAGGTGAATTCAGATATCAAAATAAATAAAAAAATCAAAGCTTGGGGAGTCAATCGAGAGAAATCAATGGTTGGAAAAAAAAAAATTGAAAGGCTGATACTAAAAAAGTCTCTCTCTTAATTGTAAGTCATACTAGTTTCAAGACCCTATGCGAACTATTTCAAGTTAACGTACTTAATTTTTTTGTTGATAAATTTTGAACAAGGTGATTAGTTTTGATTTTCCCATTATAAAAGAAAAAACAAGCTAAGCACTGAATTTTTATTTTTAGTTTTTGTTAAAAAACTAGAATTATCGTGAGAGATTATGTAAATTTGAATTTTTTAATCAAATATTAAGAGGTATCTTTGGGCTTGTGCATTAACCTAGACAAATTTGGAATGTTTTTAACATCCATGACAAGTTACATGATTAAATTATGAAATTAATTATATTATTTTCAAAGTTAAAAACAAAATGAAAATTTTGCAGGTGATCACTAGCTTGAAGAAATCCAATAAATAATACAAAGAATTGTTGCATTCCATGCAGACTAAAATGGCAATCCAACAAGTATCGATATTGGCAACTTCATTGTCAAAAAAAAAAAAAAAAAAAGGTATTGACTCCTCAAGTCACATAATTTTTGCTTTAAACCGCAGAGACTTTCCACTTCGCCGAGTTGATCTGCAACAACGTATTAGCTTTCTAACATCCTTTCTTATATTCAAGAAAGAACAAAGCACAGCAATGGACATTGTTACTGGGTAGATATGAATACTTCTTGCGGAATTCATATTAGCAGATTTTTTCAGGATGAGTACTTCTCTCACAAAGCCCCATAAGATAAGTAGTGTTCCAAAGAGGCTCATTCTACCCGGTCTTATGAGACCTAATACGGCTCCTCCCACTGTTAAGTAGCTTCCTGCCAGAATCTAGCGAAACACAACATTATAAGTATATAGTTACTGAAATAACCAAGATACAATACATTTTCTCTCTGTTGATTTACTAGCAAAAGAAAAATGAAATAAAACACAATGTATTATTAATGCTATCCACTTGGAAAAATCAGATTAATATAACATAAACGTTATGACAGAGAACTAACGATATTAATATACTAACTAACCTCCAGGTGCTGGAGATCAGTTGATGCTGGGGTTTTCCTCAAATTGGTCAAGTTATATAGCTGTGACAATTTACTATAGCTGGGGAAGGTTTTGTTCTTGATATATGCTTTGGCAATGGCACCAGGATACAGAATAGCTTTGACTCCAAATGCAGGATATAGCTCCGTTGCGATCAAGTGGGAGGACATGACCTCTATGGGCGAGGTACATGTTCCAGTTCGACATGGTACCCTGTCAGAAAAGAAAGCAATATATATATCTTCTTCTTTTTCTCCTTAAGATTTCTTTCCTCGGTGAAACTGGCGTTGTGACAAGCAAAGAATTACCAAGTGCTAGACAACCAACACAAGTTTCAATTAATTTTTCAAATTAACAGAACCTATATGGAAATGGCTAGGGGCCTTGATAAACCACATGAAATCAGCTCATGCCAAATCAAAAGTTTTAGCAGTAATAATCTTACCTTTTGCTGCCTGCTATGCATGTTAGGTGTGTTTAATTCTTGCAATTATATGGACCATATATATATATAGAAATTAGGTAAGTCTTTGATATGTTTTTGTTTTTCTAATTGTGAATGTCACTAATTATACTTAATTTTTATTCTAAAATTATCTTTAAGTTATGTAAGAACATAATACGAAAATTTCTCAAAATTACTGAAAATGTTTTAAGAAATAAAAAAGTTTTAAGATTACTCAACTATTAAAATTTAAAAAAATAAAAATTTTAACTTTTTTTTAATTCAAAATTATATCCTTGTATACTTCAATAATAGTTTTAGAATGAAAAATATAATTATGTCAATTTGAATAGAAAAAATCATATGTCATAATTATGCATAGATATATTATAATTATAATTGATACAATTAAAAACTAAACAAATTATATAAAATGGATTGAATTATTTACCTAATAAAATATCCAAATATCAAACATTGATTTAACTAGTATTGTATATCAACTCGTATCACAACAAAACAAGACACAATAATGCAGTGTATCAACATCTAGAGGGCCCGAACTATTAAATAAAAAAACTATTTCTGTGTTTAATAACAAGGGTAGGTACACCAGCATGGCAGACGAAAGAAATTATTTGCACCACAATCTGACAACTCGAGTATTCAGTAAAATGTGTTTTGTTAAAAATGATAAAACGTCACATATCAATGCGAAGATGAAAGTTAACCCTAATTCACGAAACTTTTAACCCTAATTCACGAAACTTCAGAACAATATCTAGAACTTAATTGATTTTTGGGTAGGAAACAGAAAGCCTTTTCTGATACATGGTTGGTCGTCTAACATAGAAAAAATACTGAAGAAAACTCACAAAGAATAGGCTGACTCTATAATGATTTATAGCGCAGAAAAAAGAATTGCATAGGAAACTCCATTGAATTACTGAAAATATTTCCGAATTAATTAATGAGGATAGAAATCGTTCCCAAATTTAAAAGGTATGATATTGGATGGAGAAAGGGTCTTATTAAGCTATTGATAATGACAGACTACAGTAAAGGAAGAGTAAGAGAGTGATATTTAGATTACCTGAAAAGGGGGAGTTGTAAGATAATGATAAAGAAATGAAGAAAAGAAGCAACGAATGATACGATGTTTGCCCATCTCTTTGAAGAAGCCATGATATGATCAAAAGGAGAAAATGGTGTTAAGGACCCACGATGGAGGAGAATTGGAGGACGCAATTGCAGACAAAATCGCATTTGATCAAGACGTTTCATGAATTGACAAGTGCAACTTCGAACTTATTTAATTTTCACATCACTTTGCTATTTTTCTATTTTTTGTTTCTGTTTTTTCTCTTCACGCATCTCCTAACTTCGTAGCCGTTGCAATACAATCCTCTCTTTCCTCTTTCTGATATGCGAGGGTCGTCAGCCGAAAAACTCGAGCACAATGGAGCAATATTTTTATTTTATTATTATTATTCTTTTTTTGGGTGATAACCAACCGAGGAAAATTTGATTTTAAAATCCAGGTAAAATCAAAAGTGAACTTTGAAGCACAACGCTATAACTTTGTGTATTAACATGGATCCTATTTTAGAATGATTTGCCATTCAATAATATAGATTATACTTAAAAGCTGTTATTTCTGAAAAAAAAACAACAAGGAATAAAACTAATTATGGTCATAATTAACCTTCTCAAAATAATTAATGATAAAATATGAATAGAAGAATCCTTGCACTAAATGAAAAATACGGTGAGGGAATTTCCTCTTCCTTAATTAGTTTTTGAGTGGAATTTTTTCTTTTTTCTAAAAGAAAAAAAATTTGGGATTGACGACTTATAATGCACTCCCCTGATTTTAATATTATCAAGTATCAAAAGCACCATGTTTTAGCCAAATAATAAATTGTTAAATCATATGTCCGATGAAACAATTCACAATAATGACTTTTTTTATAAAAAAAAAAAAAAAATTGATTTATACTATGCATTTTGACCCTTGACTATAGTAATAATGTATTAAAAAAATATTGAGATTAGGGCTTTATGAGAAATTAACTATGCATCTACACACATAGTACTAATTATTTGCTATTTATTTTTTTAATATTCTAAAATTAATTTTTTTAATAAAATAATTATTTTTTAAGAAGAACTACCTAATAATTCAAATACATCTTTATATATCAATATTATTGATTATTATTATTATTTTATATATATATATATCAAATGAATTTATGAATATGTTTTTAAAAATAAATAATCAATTAAATAATAGAATTTTATCATAATACATTTTTTAGTTGGTTTTTTTAACTCTATTAACGTCAATATATTCCTCACAATTTAAGTTTTTTAAAAAATATTTTTTGATTTATAATGCACATTCAAATTCACTGAGTATGTTCATCATATGTATATAAAAAATATTGAGATCATTGATTTTATTTGAAAATTACTTTAAATAATATAGATTATACTTAAAAGTAGTTATTTCTTAAAAAGGCAACATGGAATAAAATTAATTATGGTTTTAATTAACCTTCTCAAAATAATTATAATAAAATATGAATAGAAGAATCCTTGTACTAAATGAAAAATACGATGAGGGAATTTCCTCTTTTTAGTGGAAGTTTTTTCTTTTTTCTAAAAGGCTTAATGTTAAAAAAAGTCACAAATTATACATGTTTTAATGATTTTAGCTCATTCTTAAAAACTCGTATAGAAAGATAACTAATTAAATATCTAGTAACAATACTAGCACTTGTGGATCTTACGTGGCTTGCTAAAGTCCTGCCATGTCGATATTAATGAGAATTTTGATTAAAAAATCATATCAATGTTAGTATTATTATCGTATGCTTAGTTGGTGACCTTTCTATATAATTTTTAAAGATCAAGCTAAAATCATTAAAAAGTATATAGTTCGTGATTTTATGAAATATTAAGCCTTTCTAAAAGGAAAAAAACTAGGATTGACAACTTATAATGCACTCGCCTTGATTTTAATATTATCGTGTATCAAAAGCAACACACACACACACATATAGATATCTTGTTAAATCATATGGAGTAAATTATAAATTAGTCCAGATTCAAAAAATAAATTAATTAGTCTTTCTTATTTTAAAAATTATCATTTAATTATTTAATCAATGTTAATCATCTTTAATTTAATATTACTTCTAACCCACAAATTCTCTTATTTTTTCATAAATATTACCATATTTTTCTCTTTTTCTATTTCTTAAAATAAAAAATTAAAATAAATTAAAAATGAGCAAAAAAGATTAAATTACAAGTGGATTTTAAAAAATTAGGACTATTTTTTTAAATAAGATCGATTAATTAATTTTTTTCTAAAAATAAGAGGAGCTAATTTATAATTTACTCAAATCATATGTCTAGTGAAACAATTCATAATAGTGATTTTTTTTCTCCTCTCTCCACCAAACTCAAACCGCTTACATGAAAAGTAAATTATAAATTAGTCTTTGTTGATTATAGAAACAAATTATTATTTTTTAAAAAAATAGTTATTTAATTTTAAAAATTTTAATTCTATCAACAATTTAATTTTTTTTTTCAATTCTTCTGTTAAATTAATGATTTTTATGTCCAAATTATAATTTCTTTAATTTGTGGTTGAGAGTAGAGAGGAAAAGAGTGGAAGAAAAAGAAAAAAATAATCAAATGGAAAACAATCTGAAAAAATAATTACTAATCTAACAGAAAAAAAATGATTAAATTATTGATGAAATAAATAAATTCGATTAAAAAAACTAACTAATTCGTTTTTAAAAAATAAAATGAACTCATTTATAATTTATTCCTTACATAAACAGTGCCAATATACTGCGGTGAGAATGCACCCCAAAAAATAAAAAAAAACACTATGGGTGAGGAAAAACTTTCTAAATAAGTAGTTACTGCTGTCTGGCTCCATATTAGATGACCACCATATATTTATATTATAGGACACATTTTAATTTATTGTTGATTTTATTTTTCAAATAGAAAGTAGTATATAATTTTATGTGAAAATAAAAAATATCCTTTAATTTAAAGGATATTTTTTATTTTATGAACAAAAACTATATTAAGATTGACTTAGTATTGGTAAGAGAATTTGAAGCGAATCAAGAAAATAATATTTTATAAATTGAATTATTACGTTGCTTCCAATCAGAGCAATGGCTGAAAGAGTTAAAATCAAAGTACTGCCATTAATCAATGACTTGCTTAAGCATTTCATTATGACCCTTGAGCGTAGGGGACCTATTCGATGTCTAAATTGTCAATAGGTCATAATTAAATATTGAACTTAAGCTATGGGAATTGTGAAAAAGACCAATGATCGAAAATGGCAGAAGCTTATTTGTCCAATTCTTATCTTATCTCTCTCACCCTTTGGACTTCTCCGAGAACCATCCTTTTTTGCGGCACGTAAAGTAAAGGAAAAGACAATTATAAAATGAATGCTCACATGTAGGCCAGATCGAATTGTGCATGTGGGTCACACATCCCTATGCTTTATTCCCATATTCAATTATTCATCTTCAATAATTGTTTTGTGACCAGAAATTATTGCGCTCTCCCCCCACCCTCTCTCTCTCTCTCTCTCTCTCTCTCTCTCTCTGCGCACACACACACACTTCCATGGCCCGAACTTGAGAAAAAACCTTTGTCAAAATGTGGAACAGCCTCCCTTTTGATCTTCTTGCTAATATCTTCTCCTTCCTCTCTCCGGACTCCTTGGCATGTGCCAAGACAGCATGTCGGTATTGGTACACGTGTGCCAATTCATGCCCATTGAGCACGACTTCATCATTGGTCCGGCACCACCAAGCATGGTTTGTAGCTCTGCCCACACGCAGCCTTGGGCTACATTGTTATCTTCACAATCCGAATAGCGACAAGTGGCATGTGTTATCTCTCGCATTTCAACCTGACCCGCTCCGGCCCATCGCCTCCGTAGGTAGCCTAATTCTTTCAAGATCCACAAATTCTACAACTCTCCGATTAGCTATATGCAACCCTTTCACTAAGGAATTTAGATCCCTTCCAACGCTAAACATTGAAAGGACGAATCCTGCTGTTGGCGTTGTGATCTTAGGCCCAACCCAACATAGCCCATTTTTACATTTTCGGGTCTACGTAGCAGGAGGGATGTCGGAGGCTCCACGTGGTGCTTCCACGTACGAACCCACGTTGGAAATGTACGATTCGAAGGTTGAAACGTGGAAAGTTGTGGGGTCAATGCCAGTGGAATTGGCGGTGAGGCTGACAGTCTGGAGCCCCAATGAGAGTGTGTATTCTAATGGGGTGCTATATTGGATGACCTCGGCCCGAGTTTATAGCATAATGGGCTTTGAGATAGGGTCCAATAAATGGCAAGGTTTGAGTGTGCATATGGCAGACAAGCTTGAATTTGCCACATTAGCTCAGCTCAACGGGAGGTTGACGCTCGTTGGCGGCACTTGTGGTGGCGACGCCTGTGTGTGGGAGCTGGATGACAGACACGTGTGGTGTTTAAAAGAGAAGATGCCGGTTGAATTGAGGTTGAAGCTTTTAGAGGGCAAGGCAAGTTGGGGTACGACTAAGTGTGTAAGGGGTGATGGGGCTATTTGTTTGTATAGGGACCTTGGGTCAGGAATGGTGGTGTGGAGAGAAGTTGGTGAGAAAGGTAGATGGGAATGGTTTTGGGTTAAGGGGTGTTGTTCAATAAAAGGCAAACCAGTACAAAACATGCCGATTAAAGGTGTGCTTATTCATCCCAATCTTGCTCCATCATATCCATAGGTGAGACATTATGGTTTTGCGCATGGGATCTGAATATGAATTGTGGATTCTATATGAAAAAGGAAATTAAAATTCCGAGGTTCAAAAATAAAAAAGTCTCCTTCGGGAAATATTAAAGAGTGTCGTGTTTTTGTAGTTTTTGGCATGCACAACGAAAAATTCTGTTTTCTTGGTTAAAAAAGATAAAGTATAAAGACTCAAGTAGAATAATAAAAGTAAAGATGCTTGATTAGAAATTTGTGTAAGTTAAGGAACTCCATTTTTCTCATCTTCGTGCAATAGATCGGCAACCTCAGTTTAATTCTGGGTACAGTAAGGGGCCCAAGGCCCACGAAACAAGGCCTAAGCCCTACAACCATTCTGCTATGATTCCCAATCCCAAATCCAAATGTAGGTCAGTAGTCAAGGCCTAAAGGAGGCCTCTCAATCTTTATGAGTAAGGCTTGGCTCACAAAGATAAACATTACACAGAAAGTTCCAACCCATGATTGCTATACCATGTTGAAATTTAGACTTCTCAGGTATCCAAGAATTATAGAGGAAGATCAGAATATCGCATCCTGGAATTTGTTGATCATAAGTGGCGTAGCTAAAAACTTTTAATAAGGACAACAACAAATTTCCTTTATAAAATCATACATATATATATATATATATATATATATATATATATATATATATATATTACACTAGTATACGTTATGAAGAGCAGAGAGATTTTGGTTGTGAAGAGGACAGCAAATATGAGGACTGGATCAATGGTGGCAATGAGGATTGGCTAGCTTGGCGAGAGAGAACAACAACAATGGAGGTTTGGGTGAAGGAGGAGGGGTTTTTGGTGTGAGTTGTTTGGATGAGAGAGTGAGGAAGGAGGATGAGAAATGGCTTGCAATGAAAGGGAGGAGCTGAAGTGGTTTTGTAGGAAGAGAGGGGAAGGGCAACTAGGGTGGTTCCTATAGTCGTTTGGCTGAAGAAGATGGCAACAGCGGTGGGATTTTTGTTTTTGTTTTTGGTTTTTGGTTTTTTTTTTTTTTTCATTTTCCACATCATGTACATGTGGTAGCCACATGTCTCAAATGTGATTATCATGTCATTGCCATGTATACAACAAGTCCTATCAACAGGCCATGTGTGTGTATAATAGAAAAAATTTGATGAAAAGCTATCGAAGATACTTAAAAAAAATTAATTGCTCAAATAATAAAAATTAAAGAAGACGTGTTTGATTATAAAAAATTAATAATTTAGTATACTAAAATTGTGATTAATTTAATAAACTTGGAAGACTAAAAAATCACTGTTTAGATAAATATAAATTAAAAATTCTTGTAATTTCACTATAACCTGCTGTATATATATATATATTGCATATTTTTATTCGAGAGATATATATTTTACAAGGAAAAGAAAGAGACAAGTTGTTAAAAAAGTAAATTCTAATTTAGTCCCTATGTTTTTTATACTTTTATTAGCTGGTCTGTCTATTTTTAAAAATCATAAATTACTCTTTAATAAAGTTGATTGTTATTTTCTTTTAAAATTTCTAAATTATCCGTTATAAATGCACTTTCAGACGGCATAAACCCGAAACATCTAGGCATGTATTTGGTTGAGATATTCGAGATGGAATGAGATAGAATTGATTACACAAAATATAATTGCACACAAATTAATACCTAACAAACAATCATTTTACCGGCAACTCTATTATTTATTACTCCTATGGATGCATATTTTCACCAGCATAGAAATTAGAATCCTCGGTGATCATATATATTTTTGGTTTTTGAATTTTTGAGAATGCATATTTTTTATTTCCAATAGTATCTGTGTTCCTTTTCATTTGCACAAGTTATTTTAATATTTTTTTTGTTTACTAATGTTTGATCTAACCGCTTCTTTAGCCAATTTGCATTTGGTGTACACATCACCATCGGGCGCCTAGTAAACGACAACCCAATCAGTGGATTCATCATATTATTGCAATAATAACTTGTAAGAAAACGTAAAGGGATCGCTCTAAGATGTAAGAAATAAAGAAGAGTCAAGGTGCCAAACGTATTACTGACCCCATTTTCTAGTTACACTTAGTTGACCAGCGAGAACAACTCTTCTGCCATTTCTTAAGCTTCTCTGCAGTAGGTGTGACCAGACAGATAGTTATAGAATGGATTAACCTACCATGGAGAGGTAAGAAACTGTTTTCGCGTTACTGTTACATACAGCTCTTTCCAAGCGTATTTGGTATGACCAGTTTTCTTTTCTTAATTAGTTGATATGTTCTGTACAGTAGTAATTCACTCTTGTTTCTTGCAACGTTTAAGGTTTCTTGATATAGGAACTGGATCGGAATTGCTTCAAAGTATTCCACTAGTCTTGAAATCCATTAAAGACTTTTTTTTTCTCGAGAGAGAGTATGGTGGCTTGTGTACTTTTAGAGTTGCTGAAATATCTGTACTGTTGCTGGGATTTAACTGTTTGTTAATTATGTTTCTTTGATGCTTTTGAATGCGATTTTCATGTATTATGATGTAAATAATGTTTGTTAATGAATGGGTGGATGCTGATAACCGTGAGTAAAAGTGGGTCGATGCAGGAGGTCTAAAAGGGGAGTTTGTATATTTAATAGGAAGTGGATCCTGATTGCTGATTAGAATCTAATTTGATTAAATTCTCTTACTTCATGCGCATTTGTGTGGAAATGTGAACTTTTATAGCTAGTTTTTTCCTTTGTTTTTAATCTGTTGGATCAGTAAGCTGGCATAAAATCATGAAATTTCATTGATGTTAATTAACCTGGAAAATTTTCTCGTTAAATTTCTATGTAGGGTTGATTTGTTTTTTATTTCTTATGGTTACATTTGAAGAGTTGTTTTGCAGGCATCCCTGGACAAAATATGGATTTATCGGAGTATCCTGAAACTGCCCTCTTGAATGTTGTGGAGAATTCCCTGAATCTCGAATTTTTTACTCATCTTCGAGTCTGGCTAAATTGGGTTGCTGCTGTTTACTGGATCAACTTCTACTTGGTGGTGACTTTGTTGAGTTTGTTTGTTGCAACAATTCAGTTTCTTCCTCCTAAATGAGGAGAATTCTACTAACTCTATACTTCACCCTGGATCAGTTGGGGATTTGTATCAAACAGGACTAGAGGTTTGAAGACATTTATGCAGTGGGAGAATACTGGGAATACTGCAAACTCTTTCATCCTGAGTCGCTATGGAAGCTTTGCAAGTTATTTCCTCTGCAACACAAATAATCTCAAGTATGTTAGGTGCTGTCAGTGCATTAGATCAGGCTTCTAGGAATCTTGACGAAGCTCCAAAGAGAATCCGAAGCCTAGAGGAATTGGTCTATGATCTCGAGAATTTGATTCGTCGAATTAAGCAAAAGCATGTCTACAAGCTTCATAATCCCCAGCTGGATCACCAAATCCAAAGCTTGAATGCCCTGATAAAACAGCTACATCCAAACATTATGAAGGCAAGAAGGATTGTGTCACGAAGTAAGATTAAGAATTTTGCCAAGGTTGTGTGGAGTTCTATGGCTGGAGACCCTCTTAGCAAACTGATAAGTACCATTAGGGATGACTTGAATTGGTGGCTGGAATCTCAAAGGTTAACCCAACATGTTCAGAAGGTGATAGAATCAACAGCGCAAGACGTCCCGGTGCGATTGAAAATAAAGATTGAACAAGGATGGCCAATTTCTAGTAAATGCCACTGTGTGAGAAACTTATTGGAACGAGAGGATTCTCATCGGGTTATTCTAATTGTTGGGTTATCTGGTATTGGAAAGTCATGTTTGGCTCGACAAGTAGCTTCTAACCCGCCTACAAAGTTTGTCGATGGAGCAGTTGAACTTGGATTTGGCCAATGGTGTAGTAGAAATGCTTGCAATGGAAATAAAGATGAATACCAGAGACGCCTTGCGAGAAAAATTTCTAAATTTCTGGTGCAAATTGGATTTTGGAAGAAGATTGGAGATGAAAGTAGTGGAGATCTTGAATATGTTTGTTGTATCCTTCAAGAAGCATTGTATGGAAAGAGAATTGTCATACTTCTTGATGATGTGTGGGAGCAGGATATTGTTGAGCGGTTTGCAAGGCTGTATGATAATGAATGCAAGTATTTAGCGACAACAAGAAACGAAGCTGTCTGTGAAATAACAGAAGCCGAGAAGGTTGAGCTGAGCAAAGATGATATAAAGGAGATAAGCAAGGCAATCCTTCAATACCATAGTCTCCTTGGCACGGAAGAGCTACCGGTATGAGTCAAATAACCCTCTTTTCCTTCTTTTTTTTTTTTTTCCCTAAATTTATCTAAGTGATTCAGCCTTTGATTTTTCTTTCAAAACTGGTATTACCACCATACTATCATACACTTATATGCAGGCTCCATGAAGAAATAAACTAGAGACAAAAAATGCCTTCACATTGCTGATTCCATTAATAAATTGTTGGGTTTTCTTTTTCCTCTTCTTTGTTTGGTAGGTCATAGCAGAGACCTTGCTTGAACGTTGTGGCCACCACCCTCTGACAGTTGCTGTGATGGGTAAAGCTCTTAGGAAAGAAGCAAGAGCTGAGAAGTGGGAAAAGGCCATCACAAACTTATCAACCTTTGCCACATGTGCACCTGGTCCTGTCTCATATGTAAATGAAAAGGAAGCTGAGAGCACGTTAACTGTTTTTGGGTCATTTGAGTTCAGTCTGGAAGCTATGCCTAGAGATTCTAAAAGGCTCTTCATGGCTCTGGCTTCCCTTTCATGGGCCGAATCCATACCAGAAGCTTGCCTGGAGGCTATTTGGTCGGTTCTTGGAGAGGAGAACTTGTTCCTTCTCATTGTTTGCAAGCTTGTTGAAGGCTCCTTACTGATTAAAACTGATATGGATCCTCTGTACCAAGTTCACGACATGGTTTCTTTGTATCTTGATAGCAAGGCACATGACTCTACTGAGATACTACTAAATGCATATTCACTAGAAGAAACTGCTTTTATTTGTCCTTGGCTGCTTATTTTTGGAAAAGAAAATGTCAAAAAGACTGCTGAAGAAAGGATGGAGTTTTTGTTTAATGTCTTGGAAGAAAAGCAGGTGATCACCACTTTAGAAGCACTCATCCAAGCTCTAATGGCTAGCAAATCCATGTCTGAACTCGAAGTTAGCAGGGAAAGATTTAGTAGAATACTAGGCCCTAGGATTGCAGACTTGATCTCAACTAATTCTTTGAGTCTCATTGCCGTGACTACAGAAGCCATCACAAATATATTCAGTAAGAGTGATTACTGCAATTATTTTCCTTCCCTTGAGACTACTGGTGCAATCAATAAGCTGACAACAACACTACAGGATTGCAAGGACCCTGCAATTCAAATCCACATATTAATCGTACTTGCAAAGCTTGCAGAATTTGGAAGCCTTGAGACTGTTGATAAGGTGCTCCAGAGCATTCCCTTTGACCAGCTAGCTGATTTGCTCTCCCCAAGTGCTGAGAAATGGCATGAGAGCATGTTTACGGTATTGAACTCTTTGACCAAAGCTGGAAAGTCAAATGCTGTTGAAAGAATGTTTGCTTCTGGGATCGAAAAAAAACTTATTAAACTTCTTGAGAATGGATCTGAAGTGCTACAGCACTATGCCATTGTCACACTTAAGGGATTTTATGAGGTGGCTCGCACTCCTGAAATTGGTTCTCTTCAGCCATCTGATCTAAACTTGCTGCCATGGCAAGTTAGGCTTCATCTAGAAACTTTTGTTCTGTCACATCTAACTGTTCCCCATTTGCCAAAGCCACAATCTTTTGAAGATCTCATTTATAAGGTATTAGATGGAAGTAAAAAGCAGGTATTGCAGGCAATGCAAGACCTCATACCGATTATTGAGAACGCAGCAGATTCTAGAATCAGAGAAATGATTTTACAAAGTCCCCTTGTCAAAAGGCTATCGGAACTTCTGCAAAGCAGGCACTCAGAACAGAACTCATTAAGATCTGAATCTGCTTTCTTACTGATGAAGCTAGCTTTCTCTGGCGGAGAACCTTGCATTAAGAAATTTCTAGACCATGATATTATTCCCGAGCTAGTTAAGATGATGCAGTGCAATGTTGCAGAGCTGCAGGATTCAGCCTATACAGCATTGCACCAAATGCTTTTTGGAAATGGTGGGATCCTTGTGTTGAGTAAGATCTTTAAAACAGGTCTCGTGGATAGGGTGGTTCAATCAGTAGACAGCAAACCAATGAAGACACGAGAAGTGAATGTTCATTGCATTTTGGATCTAGTTGAGCTAGGAAATAAATCCTGCTTGGAGAAAATGTTGTCGTTGCAAGTGGTGGAGAAGCTTGTAGAATCAGAAAAAATCACCGGGGGATCTGGTGAAACAATAGTTGGATTTCTCAAGGGCATGGACAAATGTAAGCATTTGTCAATGATGGAGCGTAAGGTGATAAAGCAACAAGTGGTTAGGAAGATAAGGGCCTCCTCGAAAGGGCATAAATTTGAAACTCAAATGTTATCATCAGTGGATGCTTGTATGTTTGAGGGTTCAAAAGGTGCCAGTAGTGGCGGCAGTGGTAGATACAGAAAGTAAGTAATCAGGTATGAGAACAGGAGCTTTTTATTCTGTCATTTAGCTGACTTTTCAAGCCATGGCCTTGAATCATTGTTTGTAAACATCATTTGGAAAGAATGAATACATATTATTGCTCCTTCCGTTTTGTGAGTGCCCAAGTTCACTTAACATTTTCATGACTGCAAGCGACTTGCTTAGCAAACTCTGCAGAAAATGTTTAATAGGTTCCATCCTCCACTCGGTGCTGATATTATCTTTTCTTTGTTAAAAAGAACAATAACGTCAACTAATTGCAGACATGGTGTAGTGGAACTGCATGCATGGGGAAGAATTCTCTGATGTGCTGATATTGTTTGCCATCTGCCGATTTGCTGGCTTCTGAAATGATGATTTTGCGAACTGGATTTTACATGCTCGTATCTGTTTCTGTGAGTGGAAAGATTCAGAGGAAAAGAATCACCGAGGAAGAACTTCAAAATTGTGTAAAATCAACCCGTTTAGCATCAGTTTGTTTAAAAAATTGCATTGAATGGCCAGCATGATTGGCTGCTTATTTTATCACAGGAGTGATATCCCTTCACCCATATCATCGAGGACTCTCACCTTGATGTATAGATCTTTGGGAGCGGTGCCACCATATATATCCTGGCATGGCAAACATAATGACTTTAGTTATCAAAACCTAGGCCATTGATTCGAGATGTTAAGTCGTCCTGTTAAACAAATCCAACATGTTAATTTGTAGTATGTTCAGTTCAGCAGACAACCTGCTATGGTAAAGGATCATTTCACCTAAAAATTTTAATATTTAAGCTTAGAACTTATATAAATTTACATTGTCTTATGCTTAACGTTTGAGAAATTAAGAATAATGAGACTTGAACTCAGAATCACATGGTCAACCAAACTCGATACCTCATTAAAAAACTATCTCATCTAAAAGTTTAAGCAGATAAATGAGATCCAGAATATAATTTATATTAGTCTCTAGGAGATAGGACGTACAGCAAGGAAGAAAAAAAAAGGCAAGCAGCAGGCCGACCGCTGGGAAGATGGGTGAAGAAACGTACGGCGGTGCATAGTCCTGTCCCTTGAAACCCAGTGCATTGGCATGCTTTATAAACGATGGAGATCTCGACAAAATTAGGACCTGGAATTGGAACCTTAACATCTCCATGTACAAATCAGACCTAAGCACGTATCCATATGGAGTAACAGTTTATACAATCACGACTTTAATAAATTTCTTTATTTTAATACTGCTTATGTAGTGACTGGGCACTGGCCTTTGCAAACGGAAGGTACCAATATATAACTGCCAACGCACTTCGTCTATTATGAATCCTACAAATAAGGTTGGAAAAAGTTTAGAAGGACCAAACCTTTAATCTTGATTCTGTTTCTCCACGTCTCTGCAAACACAGGACCTCTGCTAGACGAAACCCCTTACCCTTGTAGATATGGGACACGGTGTCTAAGTCTCCAATTCTTAGGTTTCAATAGAACATATGTATTTAATAATCCCAAATGTAGAAAAAAAGAAAAAAAGAAAGAGTTTTGGTAATTCCATTAAAGCGGATTTAGCAATCACTCACTATCATCATCTTGGAGTCTAGTCATAGGATCCAAGCTTCCGCGCTCAATCTTGCTGACAAAATCTACTACTGCAAAATTGGTTCCATTTAGATTATTCAAAAAAAAAAAAAAAATTCCCAATTTTTTCTTGAAAAACTGAATTTGAGTGCCTAACCTTTGATGATTTTTATATTTGAGTATCGAAATTTGATTTTTTTTTTATTTGAGTTTTCTCAAACAAGTGAGATTGAAAAATACTAATATAGTCAAGATCTATTTGCACATTAGAGTCTTAATTGACACATGACAAAAAGTAAATCCTAATTGGATTTATTGAGAAAAAATAAAATAAAAAATTTATAGAACTTTTATAAAAGAAAATTATTGTCGGTAATTTAAAAAAAACCAAAACCAATTAATACTAACCAAATGAACTCATCAAGTTTACTCATCAATTTCTTAAAATACTTTCAAAATATCTAATCTAAACATTTTGTTAACCTAAAGTCATCTAAACAATTGGAGTTCATATTCTATATCGGTTTTTTATTTTATTTATTTTTAATTCTTGCCATGTAGGTTTTTTTTATAAAATTTTCATTTTTTTTAAGATCCATTTTTTGCCACATGTTACTAAAAGATTGTCGCGTGTTAATGAATTACAACTATGTTATTATTTTTCAGTTTTAGATGACTAGAATAACTCAATAGAAAAAAAATATCAAATATTAGGTACTCAAATTGAAAAATAATAAATAATTCTTGACATGTAGTTTTTTTAATAAAATTTTCATTTTTTTAAGAGCTATTTTTTACCACATGTTAATAAAAGATTGTTGCGTGTTAATGAATTACAATTATGTTATTATTTTTCAGTTTTAGATGGCTGGAATAACTCAATAGAAAAAAAAAATCAAATATTAGATACTCAAATTGAAAAATAATAAATAATCTAAGTAAATCATCTTTTAGTCACATGATAGTTTGTTTGGAACACATCATCATTTTCCTTGTCTCATGTTATTGTAAATACTGAAAAAAAAAAAAAAAAAAAAAAAAATTGGTCACTCAAATACAAGGATTTATGGATTAGAAACTTGAACATCAGTAAAGACCACACTTGATTTGCAAGTTGACTTTTGAACATATTTGTTTTATTGAGAATCCATTTTTGACGAATAATTTGCAACTGGCCACCGAAGACTTGAGTTTTCCTTTATGACGTCATCAGAAGCCAAATGAAAAATCCTAATGTTTATTTTGGACATGCAAGTATGCAACCTGATCTTTTAGGAGTAAATTATAAAATAGCAAAGAAATAAATTAATTAATCAATCTAACTTCAAAAGCTAACTATTTAATTCTTTTAACCAGTTTTAACAACAATTAATTTAATAATATTTTATTTCATAAAATGTTTTTTTCCTCATCTATATCATATTTTTACTTATTTTCTTTTTAGTTTTTAAAATCAAAAATAAAAATAAATTAAAAAATAAAAAAAGAATTAAATAATTAGTTTTTGAAGCTAAAGAAACTAATTAATTCATTTCTAGAAACAAGAAGGACTGATTTATAATTTACTCGATCTTTACGAGTAGCATCGATGTTTCACAACATTTAACTTGTGGGACTAAAGACTTGTGGACATGTGAATATTAGGAAACTTAGCCCGAAACAAATCCTGACACAAGGCTTACATTTACAGGTTGTACAGAGCAATACCAGACTTTTTGCTGCCGAACAGCATGGAAAAAAATGGACATATGCAGAAAAAACAATGTCCCTTGCATTGAATAGCTGAAGTTGGCCTTTCTCGCCAGCCGCTGTCAGGGGCTTTCGCTAGCTCGCACCCCTTTCTCAAGGCACGCGTCGAAAAATTAGAGAAAATGGAGAAATGGGTGTCGAGATTTTGAACAGAAGCAGCTTTTCTTTCCAGTGCCGGGTAGGAGACAAAGTGAGGGGGAAAAAAAAACAGAGAGAGAACGAGGCTGGTAGGTTAGAGAGGGTGAAGGTTTTAGCGGTAAAATTAAAATCTTTTTGTTTTTGGCGGTAAGTTTAAAAAGTAACCCTTTTTGTTCTTGGCGGTAAATGCTGATTCTACTCCGTGTGGCTCTTTTGGTCATCTAGCTTAAGCTTGCGGTATGAGCGGATTACATTTTCAAAACCACATTCAATTTATGGAGTTTTGAAAGTCAAATTAACATGAATGGACATTCAAAAGAAATCATTAGATGCCAGTGAGCTAGTTTAACTAGCATTAATTTACCTCTCCCATCAATATATCTCGAATTCTAATATCTATTTTTGTAATTAAAAAAATACTCTATAATTAGATATAAAATTAGAACTAGGACAGTTAATGATTCGAATTAAATTATAGTATATTTATATATTTTTTTATTAAATAAAGGAGTTGGATTGAATTTTAAGAACCCTGATCAAAATTTTTAAATGTTAATTCATATCCTAATTTTAACGGATCTGGATTAGAATTCAAATAAAAAAAAAAATCACATTATCATCCAGTAAACTTTAGTTTTTCAAATTGGAAATTTTGTGCACCGTCACCGATCCATCCTAGATTAATAGGTAGGGTCTAGGGAGGGTAAGTTGCTGACTTGCAGGAAGTATAAGCCATTGGTTTGGGACTAGGTTTGTAATGAGAGTTTGGGGTTAGCTTAATATTTGATTATGGTTTAGATCGTTCTATTTTTAGAATCAACATCAAAAGAAATTTATTAAAAAAAATTAATGTATTAAGTTGATATAAAAAAAAAATGTATTTTTAAAATTTTTTAGCAAAAAAAAATTATTTTAATTGATGAATAAACTGATTCAAAATATGATTTATTATTGAATAAGAAAAAACCGTTCTAACTTAGACTTTGTGAATAACTCACACGCAAAAAAAACAAAAAAATGCGGATCGATATTTACCTTGTTAAAAACTATTTTTTTTTTTATCGGAACTTCTTCTCAAAATTAACATGAACAATATGAATACAAGTAATTTTTAAAGGATCGATCTTATCATGCAAATAAGGTCATGATTCCATTTATTGTTATTCATGAAGGTCAACATGATTGGTTGTCATAATCATCGATTATTTTAGTTATTGGATCGATCATGGCTGGCCAAACGTTGGATCACTTAATTTCATGAAATTTTTTTATCTTTGTTTTAACTTAATGATACTGCTGATGATGTTATGATGAGGATAAGACTTACAAATCGGTGCTTGATTGTGTTTTGGACTGACAAATCACATAAAACTCCAAACTTTCTTGTTTCAATGATGGTAGTTTACCAACTTTCAAAATCCCAATAATCAATAAAAAATAAATTAAAGTGGTGGAGCATATTCTTTTCCCTTTGGGTGTGACCAAATATTATTCAAAAAGCTCAAAATTTTCAAGTCTTTGACTTCCTTCGTAAAGCAAATCAAGAACGAGTTGCCATATTTATTATAAAAGAAGAGAAAACGAATGAGTTGCCATATTTGAAAGAAAATTTATAAATGTTACAATCAAAAGGAACTAAGTCAATAAACTATAAATAATATTCTCATTAGTAGAAAGGGCCTTTGCATTTTCTATCTTTATCTTGGCTCTGATAAAGCCATGAGTGTTCCATGCATAAAGGTCAGACATTCTGCGGATGAACAAATGGACCCAGCATTATATATCGGTCATGCTCACCACCCTTAAAGAGTCTCCTACAAAATATCCATCATTAATTGACCTGGTTGCTTGAACTTCTAATCTACTCTGCAACTTGATTGCATTTAAAATATATTTTGGATGAATATGAACAACTTAGTTGCGAGGATGGGGAATTTTTCTCAATTATTGGAATACACCATAATTCAGTTCAATATGATACATTTATATATTTACTAACATAAAATATGCATTGTTTTTCATAATTTTTTACTAACAAAACGACATTTTTAGTATCCAACTTTTGATTTATTTTGATTTATGTTTTGGTTCATAATTGATAAGTTCTAATGATTTACTACATAATTTTTTTTTTTTTTTTTTGTGTTTAAAATCATCCGAAAACCAATTTTACTTACGTGTTCATTGATTTCTATCACGTGATATTTTTTAATTGCCATGTGGCACACGTTGAACAAAACAAAATCTCAATCGAAGTTTAATTAAGTAAATGAAAAAAATTATTAATTAAATTAACTTTCATTAACTAATTGAAAAAAAAATTCAAAACCTTCGACCTTTTCTCTTTCTCTTTCTTTGCACACCCATAATCGCAAAAAACCTAGTCCCCCTCTTATTTTTCCTCCCCTGCACATAGTAAGCCTCTATGTCTCTTTTCGCCACCAACCAACATCCATCAAGCCACGCACCATAGTTGTTGTCATCATCAAAATTGTCATTTTCTCCAAAAACATGCCATAAGCGATAGTCACTCTAACTATCATCTCCTTCCTCAAACTACCAACCACCACTCTTTTCTTCTCCTTTCCTAAATCATCATAGCCACCACAACCAAAACCTCATGCAAAACCAACAATCATCCACCAAAACCCTATACAAAACCAACCATAAAAACCACATACCAGCACCCCATACAAAACCAACCATAAAAAACTCATACTAGCACCACCATCTCCACCAAAGCCCGACCCATACACCATCACCCTAATCTATCCTTCCACCGTACCCGTGATCTCCTTCACCACCACCATCATTTCCAAAGCTGGACCCCTTGATGTAAACACCTAATTCATAATTCAACCATTGTTACAATCACCATAGCTAAAATCAAACACCAAAATTGAACCAAACCTACTCAACCCCCACCATTAAGGACATCAATAGCAATGGTGACAACAACAAGAAGGCCTACCATCGATTTGATTCTTTTTTCTCTCTTTTTTCCTCCTCTTGTGTTGGCTTAGGTTTTAGTTTAATTGATATTACTAACTACCTATTCGATGAAACACATGTGAGAATGTGGCCTTTGGGCATGTCAATTTGTTAAAACCGACTTTTTTTATTGTGTTGGATTTCTTTTTCTTATGTTAGTTTTTTTATTGCCAAAGTATGTAAGGTCCGATGGGAGGAAAATCAAAAAGCAACCTCTATTGAAACTTGAGGAAGAGACAAAGGGAAGGCTATAGGTTTTGTCAAATTTTCTTCTTCTTTTTTTCAATTAGTTAATGAAAGCTAATTAAAATAATAATGATTTTTTATTTTTTTACCGTCCAACGTGTGCCACATACAACAAAAATGTCATGTGGCAGAAATTGTTGGACATGTAAGCAAAATTAGCTATTAGGTAACTTCAAACATTTAAAAAAAAAGATATCAAATCATTAAAAATTATCGATTGGGCTCTAAAATAGCAAAAAAAATCAAAATTTAGACATCAAAAATGTCTTTTTTTACTCTAGTTCATAACCACAAATAGCATTATCTACTTTTTGAATTTTTATCTTGGTCACTCAATCAAATTTTTTTAGCGACTTAGCGGTACAAATTAGGCTACGTATTAGCATTTTTGGATAGAAATCAAACCCTCTATATTAAGATTTAAACACATACCATATGATGAGTTCTTAAAACTTTATCGGATGATATGAATTTTTATCACAATTGATTCGAAGGTGATGCTAGTTAATAAGTGTTTTTTATATTGATAGGTCACTATGCAACAAATATAATGGCATCTATATTGTTTTCCTAAATGGGCTATTTAGTTATTCTTAATAATAATTTTTCTTTCCATATCTTTTGAGTTGTTTTATTTTCTTTCATATGTTTCATATTGTTTTGTTTAGGTTTAACATATTTTTTTAATCTTGAAGTAGGGATTAAATATCCCTTAAGATGATGCAAAGACTAGAACCAAATGGAAGGATTGGTATCCGTCCGTGAATGACCAAATATGAGAATATCAAAGATCTTTTTTCTTAATCCTTATGGGGATTAAAAGTCCTTTGAGATTTCTAAACATCAAAGCAAGCCAATAGTTGCTTTAGTCAACTTATGAATTTATCGGGTCTCTAAGTTTGGCGAGAGGTTAAGTTATGTACCTTGGTATCTTATTGGACCTTTAGTTTTGTTACATGGAAAAGTGAATTGTGCTAGATTAGGTTAGGCTTTTGAAATTTAAAGACATGTTTATGTTGATTAGTATGACTTGGGTGGCCTTTTATTCTTAAAGAGACTTAGCACCTATTTTAGATATTGCAATGCCTTTATACCCGAATAACATATATCTTTATACCTTAGTAAGGTAAAACCATGCCTTTATGAAAATGTAGTCTTACCTAGTTAAGGTGATTATTGTAATAAATGCAGTTTATTAGAGATTAGAGAAACACTTTTATTAAGACAAATTTTTATAACAAAATGATTGTTATAGGTTTATTAATACATTTTGAGATGTTCAAAGTGTCATACACAAGACAATTTCTTTCTATTTGTGTCTTGTAGAAGTTGAATATTGGCCTTGATGACTTTTATAATCTTGTTAGGTCTATCCACTTGGGTGCCGGTTTTCTTAGCTTTCTACATTTTTTATTGCCTTCAATTTTCTTAAGATGAGATCCTTAATGTGGAAGCACCTATTCTTGACTTGAGCATTACGGTATTGAACATCTTGCTTGTCTTTAAACTTTATTTACAATGAGTGCAATTAGGTGAGTTTCTTTTAAGAGGTCTAAGTTGGTTCTTTTTTTTTTTTTACTAATTAATTTTTCTCACTCGAGTAGCCTTGTATCCAATGACTCAAGCATCCAATTTCAAATGGGATCATGACCTTTGTTTTATAAGTTGACATGAATATAATTTTCTTTTTTGTATACGTTTTTTCTTTTTTTGGTTTTGTATACGTATAAAATCTTATTTAGGAGCTTAGTCCTTTCTCTTTTTGACCCTTAGT